ACAAGGAAGAAAAAAATACTATGATTAAACATAATAAGACTTCACTTGAAATGTAAAATACTCTGGAACAAATCCTGCCAGCTTGCATAAGAATCAGCAAACAGGAAGCAGCAGCCTTTGCAATACAGCCCAGCACACAGGGAAAACAACACTAAGAACAAGATGCTGTGGCACAGTCCCCATCATGGTGCTGCACAGCACTTTCTGTCTCCTGCTTTTGAAGTGCATGAGGTTCAAGTCTAATTTCTGCTCCCAAAGCAGGAGTAGTTGGATTTGAGTCAGTAGCAGGTCCCTGCTGCCCAAGTACAGCACTGTCACCCTTTCTCACACCCTCACAAGTGTGAGCTGGCAGCACTGCTGCCTCAAGTGCATCCTGTCAGTATCATTTTCTAATATTTTCCAGCATTGTAGCCCTTCCAGAGCTGAGTCCTGGGTGCTTGCACTGCCTCTCAATACTTCCCTCCCTGAAGCTATGAGCACTGAGCACAGTCCTGTTACAAGGGGAGAAGGGGTTCTTTTATCCCATTCCATGTGAATTCCCTGACTGCATTCACTGAGAAACACTCAGTGGGGCACTATGTTACTATCAGAAATGTGAGCTCACAATAAAAAGAAGCAGTTTTGGCTCACAACCTCTTGAATGCTTTTGCACTTGAGAGTTAGTGCTGAACCCTTCCTAACCCTTCAGCTGCAGTCTGTACTGCATAGTTGTAAACTCGACTTTCAACTTTCAGCGATCATTTGCATGTGTGTATCTTCAAAGAATGGCATTTGATTTGCAACTATGTGTTGTAATGAGAGGCTAATTAACACAAATACAGTTATTAGCAAGTTGCAGACATTTAAAGGACAAATCCAGCAGACCAAAGTCTGTGACATACTGTGTGACAGGGATGGAGAACCTCAAGGATGAGCTGATACCAGGCAAGGCTCTGCCTCTGACTCCATCACCACAGGCAAATCACCAACATTCTGCAACTTGGTTTCCCCTTCTCTAGTGGGATAGTGAGACTCATTTACTTTGCTGGGTAGTTCTCCAGCTTAATTAAATCGTTACCTTTAAATTAAAGCACTACAGAAATGCCAGGAAGTAGCATCTGAATTAGAAGGTGGAGGTGACACCCTAATGAAGCAAGACTATTTCCATCAACAGCAGGCACAGTAAAAGGTCACCCATGGTATAATTGTGAAACCACATTCCAAGCTTCTGAAGGCAAGATGACTTTTCCCAAAACTTCATTAAGGAAGAAGATACGTCCTGGCATCATGGGATGGCTGAAATCCTGCAGTTTCACAGGAAATCTGCAATGGTTTCATTATTTTTGTTTTCTCCTTGTTTGCTATCCTAATAGCAGTGAAATATCACAGCTTTTGAAAGAATGCTTTCTCCACAGGCAGCTGTTATCAGTATGGTCAAAAACCTATTAAGAAAATTGCAGAGGATCATTTCCCTTCAAGTTGTTAATGCTCAGCACTGATTGAGTTTTCAATCTTTTCTTTACAAGAGCCACAGCAGAGGCGCTGGCACTTTTTGTCTGGGACAGCTTCTCCCAAACATCAGTACATTCCAACATACGCCACACACACTGGAAATTTCCAACTCTTTGTAAACCTTATTGAAATACACACTACTGCTGTGCAGACTCTTTATTTTTAAGTACTGGAAGAAACTTATTCTGAAACCGTAAGAAACAGGCCAGTCCTCAGTGGAGGCCCATTTTCATCATGTACTCCCAAAAAAGCAGCAAACTTAGTGTCAGGTGTGAAGCTGTGTATGCCCTGTATCTTGGAAACTGCACTCCAGCTCTGTCCCAGATACCAAAAAGGCAAATCCCATCATAAACTCATTTAGTCCATTCTGGGAAGTCATTAAACCAAAACCAGGAAAACAGGCAGCTACTTCCTTGTGTGTTGCACTTGAAAAAAAGAAGATTATCCAAAACAAACTCGTTACACACAATGTTTATGTTTCCAGAGTGTAAACACCAAGAAACAACACATTTGCTGTTTGCTTTGTAGCAATGCAAAAGCTTTTACTTTTAAGGGCAAGATGTGCTATAGGACAGGTCAGCCTAGTTCTTTCTATTACATAAGATGCTCTTACATTGACTGGATACATATTATCCAGTTTCTGTGAGGCTATGTTAGAAAATAGTGGAAAATACTCAGGAAATTACAACTGGAAATAACTCTGTATATGATTTTTTCCCAGTAAATAAATACATACTTGCATATACTTTGTATGTTTACGGTTTATATATATATATATATATATATATATATACACACACACTAAATATATACTTGCTTTTTCTTACACTTTTTGACCAACCAAAATGATTGCAACTAAGTTCTCAAGTAAGACAGAAGATGTACTTGGAGTATTGTGAGTATTGTGCCCATACATCTGGATACTCTGTTTGCTTATGTCTGTCTGTCAGCTGCCTGCTAATTGCTTTTGAGGCCACTGACCTGCCTTTGACTAAATCTGACAGCAGGAAGAAGTCCCAAAGCTTCCAACACTTTCATTTTAAAAAAATGGTTGGGTAGATGCAAGACTCTTATAAGACAAGAAGAGAAAGGCTAATGACAAAGGTCAACTTATTTGACATCAGAGAATCCACAGCAGGGATCACCCTGGAGACAAATCCTCAGGAACCAGTTTCCATTGGAACTGCTGCTCTTCTAACACTTGTTTCAAATAGAGCTGGAACCAGAAATTAATTCCAGTTCTCACAACAGTCCACTGGCCTTAGGTAAATCATAACTTCCCCTGCCATAACGTGGCTGGTGTTAAAATCCCTTATTAGGTTGCTGCAACAATTCATATTTGAAATGTACTTTGAAGGTCTGGAGAGTTGTATTTACTAATTATTACCTGTCTTGAGACATGAGCTGCATATTCAAAGTGCTAGCTTGATTCATCTGCAAGTGCACATCACATAAGCATGTGGTATGCACTAAGATTCAAAATACAAAAGTAAAGATTACTTTTAGAGAAGACTTTATAATCAAGTCAGTTTTGAGCTCAAAACATATAATTTTTATTACCACAACTCTTCCATTACACTGGATTTAAATTATTTCATGTTTTAGATTAGCACTTTATATTACACCAGTTTGAAAAGTAAATACCAATTGACAGAAGACAAAAAGCCCATGCAAAGTTTGATTCTGTCCCCAAAGGCAAGTCTGATGTCTGAGATCTTAAACCTTTGATATCAAGCTGCATGTTAATAGATAAGTTCCACAGGGCAGTTACTGAGCACAGTAATACCACAGCTTGTCCTAGGAATACCAGCAATCACAGCACTGGGTTTGGCAATGCCACATTACAGCAAGAAGGCATTTTTATCTTCTGCTTGGTCAGGCACTCTCCAGCCTTTCCAGAAAAGAAGATGCTTTCAGTTCTTGCAGGCAGAAAAATCAGATGGCAAAGGTCTCAGTGGAAGTGCTAGAGCAAATAGGTGAACTAGATGTGATTTTTTTTTAAAGAATGCATGATGGGGGGAATAGCTTCCTAAAAAGGAAACTTGCCATGCATTAAAGGTGCTTTGTAGAAAAACTCCACTTAGAGAGGTCCCTATTTGAGGGCAAAGGAGCACACTACAATTTCCTTCAATAATAACAGGTTAACCTTCTATCTTCCAGCTTCCTTCTGTAACAGACTGACTACCAGCTGAGTACTTAATATCTTCCAATACTGGCCTTTACATTTCCTGAAGGAACAAGCCACATCTAAAAAGAAAAACAAAAAAGCCACAATGGTGCCAGCTAAATTATCCTTCTAATCCTCCCCATCTCCCTACTCCAGACAAAATAAATACAACCTGGCCAATTTATTCTAACAACAGTGACTTAGATTTATGTCCCTTGCTCTCTATCACTGCCCTACAAACATATATTATTTTAATGTAGTATAAACAAATATTGGATTTGCTTAACACCACATTGAGTCCTGGTGATTAAAACATATATATGCATAGAGAAAAATTTATACATGCACAAACCCCTTTGTAAGCTCTGAAGATAAAATTATCAGTATTGCCAAACAGAGAATATGTATTATATTCTAATGACATGAGACAGTTGATTACCAACAAGCCTACTTCATTTCTAATTAGAAAAAGTTCAGTGATGATCTCCTTCCCTGCTGTTATTGCCTGACAAGAATAAACAAGGAGTATTCTCTAGGGATGGCACAGTAAACATCCAAACAGGCATTTGCTTTGGAGCTGAGCTTCACCGTAGTAGTAAGTACTGAGGAGCATAGTGGCTCACACACTACGGCTGGTCACACACCCACCAGCGCATCCTTTTGAGTGTTTACCTTAAGAAAACCGAGCTTTGCAAAGTGCATTGCAGCTGCCTAGCCGCTCCTGCCAGCTCTGCTGTCACCCGCTCGGGAGTTCTGCAGGGAAGGGACCCTCCTTGGCACAGGGCTGAAGGGCAGCCGGCTGCTCCAGGCTGGACGCGCTCCGCAGAGACAAAGCAGAGGGGATTTGCTTCGCTGCGATTCTCACCCAAGGACACCCCGCTCGCCCGGCTCCCCCCGTGCGGCAGCAGGCTGTGCGTGTCTCCCCGGCCGCAGCTGCACCTGTCGCCCGCAGCGCTCGCCCTGTGCCGGGATCGATAACGCGTCTGCCATCACCCCGAGCCTCGCCGAGCGCCCTCCGCTCGCACCGCGCTGCGGGCACCGCTCCTTCCCGAATCCCAGCGAGCGCCGATTCCATTTCATCGAGCCCACACAAACAAAGGGCGCTCCTCTTATTTTCGATAAAATTCACACAAACTAGAGAACAATACCGGAGGGGCCGCACAATGGGCACCGGCCGCGCCGCATCCCTCACGCCATCCCTCCTCTCCAGCCCCGGCTCGGCGGGCGAGCCCCGCTGACCCGAGCCCGCGACAACCCCGGGGACGGCGGCGGCTGCACCGTGCCCGGGAAGGGCTGTCCCCGGGCAGCGGGGGATGCCCTCACAGCCGCGGGGTGCGCTCACCTGCCACGGTGTACCGGTCCAGGTAGTTGAGCACGTTGCCCACGCTGAGGATGCCGGCGGCCGCTACCCGGGCCCGGCCGAGGGTCGGCGCCTTGCGGAGGGCGGCGGGGCGGTCGAGGTGCTTGCCGGCCGCCGGGGGGTTCATCCTGCCCGACAGGGTCTGCACCTCGCCCTCGGCACCCCGGCCGCAGCAGCCCCGCTCGCCGTCCTCCTCCTCCTCCTCGTCGCCAGATCGGAGCCGCCCGCCGCAGACCGGGCTGCTGCCGGAGGAGCCGTCGCTTTCCAGGCACATCATGGGCTGCGGGAGGGAATCTCGGCGTGCGGGAGCCCGGGCGGGGAGACCGACAGACAGACAGACGGACGGACGGACGGAGAGAGCGACCGGAGCGCGCTCAGCGCCGCATCCCGCGATCGCCCTGAGCCTCCCCGGGACAGGCCGGCAGTGACAGCCCGAGAGGGGCTGAGCCCGGCGGGGCGGGAAGCTCCGCCCCTGCCCCGCCCCTGCTCGGCTGCCGTGCGCGCCCCGCCCCAGCGGCCCCGAGGGGTCCGTGCGGCCGGCCCGGGGCGGCGCAGCAGGGCGGCGGCTCAACCGCCCTCGAACCGGCCCTAGCAGGTGCTGCCTCAGCCGTGCTCTGCACCGGCCCTTCCGCCGTCCAGGGACCAGCCCGTAGGGGTGTCCCCTCAGCCCGCCTCGGGGTTCCTCCTCATCCGTCCTCAGACCGGACCCGAGGGGTCCGGCAGGCGCTTTAGGTCGGCGCCTCCTCTGTTTTCAGTGTGGTCCTGAAGGTGTCCCCTTCAGCACCCCTCAGGGGCCCTGAGGGAATCCCTCAGCCTAGCCAGGAGCGGGTCCTCCCTCAGCCCGCCTCAGACCGGGCGGTTCCTCAGAAAGCTCAGCTCGGCCCTGAGGGGATCCCCCCTCAGCCCAGCCCAGCCCGGGCATGAGGAGGTTTTCCCTCTGTGCCCCTCAGGTGATCCCTCAGCCCGGCTGTGAGGGGATTCTCCCTCAGCTCACCTCAGCCCGGGAGAGACCGGGTCTTACCTACCCAGCATCACCAGAGCATTGGGTCATGTAATGAATTTCCTTTATCTACCTTTGTTATTCTTCAGCACTGCACAACGAGCTTCTAACATACAGGTGGAAGTGTGGAGGTAGCTGGAAGAAAAACAAACCCACCAAACAAAACCAATGGCTCCAGCACTACTGGCTTGTACCCAACAATGAACTCCATGTGGGCCGTGCAGGCCCACCCTCAGATGTAGATTTTAAGAATAAATCTGTCCAAAATTCTCTTTGCCTATCCTGAGTGCCCAGAGCTGTCTCCTGGGCAGGGAAGGGACAGTGCAGTGCAGGGCGAGGGCTCGCTGGGATGTGCCACAGAGCTCACAACTTCCTGCTTGGCCCCAGATGATTTTCCTACTGCACAAAAGTAGCTTCAGGAACAACACACATCTTCAAAGGAAGTAAAATTGCTCTGGAGTTCCCCCCACTGCAAACAGTTCCATCCCGCTCCCTATAAAGTTCCACCTTTGAGCTAAGAACGGCCAAGAAACATTTCATTTCAAAAGGAGAATCTTCAAAGAGATAAAAGTGTTCACAAGCAGAGTGGCTCCAGCCTGTCATACCTGTCATAAAACTACAAAAGGTAACTCAAACCAGAGAAATAAAAAGGCTGCTGGAGAACCAACACATGTCCAAAACCAGCATGTTACAATTTCACATTTCTCTCAGTTTGTTGATATTACCTAAGAAAATGTGTTGTGATTAAAGCCTTTGTCTCACGGGTATTTAAACAAACCCCCCTGCCATTCTCTGAGGAACTCAGAGCTGCTTGCAGCACAGCCCGTGTGTGTGTATGTGTGTGTGTGTGTGTGTGTGTGTGTATGTGTGTGTGTGTGTGTGTGTGTGTGCTCAGCATAGCTGGCTGTGTCACACCCTGCCCACCAATGACACCAGATTCAGACTATGCCAGAAATCTGGGGAGATACCACCAACATGACCCTCAGGATGCTACCAGAGAAAAGGGCACTTTTGGTGAGTCACCTGCAATTCAGGGCTGTTTGTGCAACACTGCTGAGAAAGGAGCAAACACCATTTCCGGTGATGGGTGACACTCCCAGACTGTGAGAGGTGACAACTAAACGTTGGGAATGGGTCTGCACAGATGTTCCAGAGTTCATTTCCAAAACAGAAACAACATATCTGGTTTAATGATAATGTTCAGGTTGACTTATTGAAGTCTAGGGAGTATTTTTTTGCTCCATAGCAGCATCTGCAGTTCAGATGTATATGGGAACAGTTATTTTGACAAAAGTGCTTATTCATGCCCCCACTAATTTCAGAATTCTAGTGGTGTACCTAATTTGGTTAAGTCACAGTGCTCACATGTTATATAGTCCAAAAGGAAACACAAAAACAAACCAAGCAAACACCAAACGAACAGAAAATGGTAGAAGTGAAAAGAAGAAAAAGAAAGAAAAAAGGAAAAGGAAGAAAATAAGAAAAAGAAAAAAAGAAATGAAATGGCTTCACAAGGACCACTTGGCCTGCTCAGCAGTGGAGGCAAAACTCATGGGTTTTTTAACTTATCAGGCACTAAACACAGCTGAAGTGCCACTTCAAGGAGTCCCACAGAGAGCAGCCAAAGTGTCCAGGAGCCCTCAGATACAAAAGGTCTGCTCCACAGTCTATTCTACTCTCTGCTATTAGACTCTCACAGTCTATTTTCTCACTGCTTGGTCTACCCCAGGCTCTGCATACAGAAAACAATGTTCAGAAAATGTCAATGAGATTAAAAGGTAGGGTAAAATTAAAGACCAGACTCTCTTGAGTCAGATGGCTCTCCTGAAAGCAGCTAAGAAAGCACAGTTTTCTTAAGGAACAGGTGTTTCATTTTTTCTTTTAATTTAACCAGTATCAAGCACGCAAACACAGCTAACACTGGAGCCATGGTGGATTGATGCACATTACAATAACTGCCTAAAAAAGACTAGGGAGTGACTTCTCCAAATCTCCTCAATCCAGCAAATCCCCAAGAAAAGAAAAAATCATCCCAAACACCAACTTACGATTAAAGGTCAACATATCAGGCAGACTTCTGCTGGCCATTGAACATGGAGCAATGCAGGACCAAGCTGAAGGAGCATGCAAGAGCATCCTTTTATTTCTGATGTAGGGAGAAGTTTCAGCTCAGAGTCAACCACAGATACAGCACAAAGACATTGGGTGGGCAGTGAGTTATGTGGACACACAGAGTGTTGCAGTCAACCCTGACACCTTCCATTGTACATGGAAAACTCACAGACAAACACAGTGCATCCATGTCATGAGATTTATGTAAAGAGAAAGCAGAGGGAACTGGAAAAAGTGTAATAGAATGGTCTTTACTGGCAGGATGAATCATATAACTGAACTGCTTTTAAGAGGAACAGCACAGATTCTAGCTCAGAGACATTGCTGGGCTTGGCTGTTACAGGGTATTGAGAGGCAGGTTGATTACACTGTGCGAGTTCTAACATGGGGAGAAAAACACCAGTTTTAAGAGCTCTAATCAAGGGGGGAAAGGCATAGCAAGAACCAGAACAATGCTGAGAGCTGGAGTTAGAAAAATTCTAATGAATCATCTGGTTCATATTTGTTACAGTGATTATCCTCTGGAACAAAATACTAAAGAAGGAGTGTATTATCTATCCCTTTCTGTCCTCTGATCCAGGTTTGATTGCCTTTCTAGAAAGTGCATTATTGAATTCAAGATGAGCTCTTGCACTCCCTGCAGAGGGAATGGGCTGTAATTTGATGATACAGGAGCTCAGGCTAGGTGTGTTGAAGTCCTAGTCCTGAAGATACCAGTTCTCACTCTGCTTACCAAGCACACATTTTCTGCACCTACCTCAGTCATTAGATTGATCTGAGCACAGCCCTAGGAAAGCACATGACAACAATCCAGTCTTGAAATGGTGACTGCACAGCAGGAGTGTCCACATATCACAGGTGACAAAGGTGGACAGCATCCTCCTGGCACTGGGATACTTTGTTTTGTCTGAAAGCTAGGAGTCTCCTTCATACTGGGATCTCTACCAAGAGGTTTGTGGATACATTGAAAAGCAAGTCTGAGCTCAGCTAGCTCATCTTCCATCTCCTTCCACATTAGGCATGTCATCCCTGCTCCAGAATGAGCCCTGGCCAGTTCCTGCAGAATCAAGTGAACTTAGTAGGACTGGTAGAATTTGCAGCCTTGCTGGTCTCTGAGAGCCCCTCAGCCCATACCCCATCCCTGTCTCATGCCAGTGCCACAAACCCAATGTCTGGGTGAGACCAAAGCAAACCAGGCACTAGTCCTGTGCTCAGGGAACTTGCAGGCTGCATATTCAGTGAGGAAAGAACAGACTCACTTGTCAGTAGCCCTGCTCTCCCCCAGGGCAGTCAACAGAGCGTATCCTTTCAGGGATTATTTTCTTCCTTTCAGTATTTTGTTAGTATCGTAAAAGCTTGAAAATGTTTATTTTAGTTTATCCTGGTCTGCACTTATTGATTTTCCCTCATCTCCAGAGTTCTAGAGAGGGTCAGTATGGGCAGAAGTGCTTCTGTTTGACAACAGAACTTATCTTTGAGGAAACAAACCCACATTGCCAGTGCCAATATTAACTTCAGTGACACAGTCCAGCAGCTGACCCAGGGGCTGTTCCTGGCCTGCAGGAGGGTTATGAGCAGACTCCCACCTTCTCTCCCAAGGGAACATGGCTGTTTGCAGAGAAGGGTGGGGAGCTGGACCACCTGTGGAAGGCAAACCCAGATGATTGAAAACCAGGCTGGACCTTACCCAGTTTAAGCAGTTACTGGAGGCAGAGGAACTGGACCATCATGAGAACATCACATTGTCCTTTTGGAAATAATGGAAATAGCCTAGCTTGTTTCAAACCCAGTTTTCTTCTTCAGTTCGTAAAATCTTGGAAAAACCCTCACTTTTTTGTCTTCAGAAAGTCACAGCAATCTCTAAACCAGAACTCTCAAAGGGCTGGAGTCTCCCTGAAGTAATGCTTTGCCAAAATGTACACCAGTGTAGCCCCTACCATTATCAGGAGCAGTAACTGCATGCAACAGTCTAACATGTTCAACTGTAAATAATTATGACTCAATGCTATTATTGTCCTTTTCCTGTTTTGCTTTATCTGATTTAAAATCAGGACTCAAACACAGACACACAGAGACACACAGCTTCTCACTTAAGAAAAATAGAGCTACACAGAATGCCACACTACAGGATCACAAACCCCAGATTTTGGGTTACCCAGATATGAGCCTCAAACTGATGAAATTCCATGAAAAGTCACATCATCAGGCGGTCATCAAGGCTAAGAGGGCAAAACACAGGACAATGACACAACTGTCTGTAGCACTGTGCATTCTTGGGCTTCAAACAGATTGCAGCTCTGCAGAACAAGAATCACAACCCTACAATTGCACACCTGCATCCCCATCATG